AATCAACTAAGTTTCCAGCACTGAATTATAAAAAGATAAACATCTTGAAATCTCAAAAAATCTTGAAATCCTTCAAAATCAGGGCTTCTTAACCTTTTCTTGGCCTGGATATTTTTGGCAATCCAGTGAAGCCTATAGATTTCCTCCTCAGAATAATTTTTTTTAAGTGTGTGTATATGTGTGTGTGTGCACGTGTGTGTACACACATGCACGCACATATGCACACACACATATTTGAAGGAAATGCTATATTTTACTACAGGTTAGTAAAAAGTAAAGATGTAAATTTCTTCCCATCCAAGTTCATTAATCCCTTGAAATTTATCCACAGACTTCAGGTTAAGAACCTTTGTCCTAGATGGATTTCCTCTTCAACCAAGGCTCTATGCTAACTCCTAAGTAACCACATATATAGAATATAAATTTACATAAATATAAGTTTAGGTATAAATCAACCAGTAAACAAATACTTATTAAGCATTTAAATTTCAATTAAATTGAATAATTCTGAGTGACTAAGTCATTTTAACTATTACAAACAACCAAATTAACCATAAAAGAACATATGAAGGCACTATCTGCATCCAGAGAAAGAACTGATAAACAGAAGTATTAATAGAATGTATGTATGTATGTATGTGTGTATTCACACATATTTGTGTCTAATGGTAGCCATCGGGAGGGAGGGTTGAGGGAAAGAAAAAAGGCAAAAAAGTTACATGATAATTTTATTATATATTTTTAAAAGTTGTACATAATAGATTTGCAGTTTCATGTATAATCATCTTTTTTCTATTCTACTACATTATGGAAATGCTTGTTCTATTTCTTAAGTTCAGAATAAAATAAATAAAATTTTAAAAAACATATATTAAGCACCTATTATGTACAAGGCACTATGGCAGCCTATGGGAATACAAAAACAAAAACAAAAAAAAGTGGTCCAGCCCTCCAGGAGTTTACAGGAGCTTACAGGAGGGTGAGAATATTTACATAGAAAAGTAAAGGCAAACATTGCATGATGATCAACTTTGATAGATTTAGCTCTTCTGGCAATACAATGATCCAAGACAATTCCAAAAGACTCCTGATGGAAAATGCTATCCACAACCAGAGAAAGAGCTATGGAGTCTGGATGCAGATCAAAGCAAGCTATTTTCACTTTTTTTGCTTTTTTGTTTTTTTGTGTGGCTTTTCCCTTTTGTTTTTGTCTCCACTTTCACAACCTGACTAATGTGGAAATATGTTTACATGATTGCACACGTGTAACCTATATCAGATTGCTTGCCATCTTGGGAAGGGAGATGGCAGGAAGGGAGGGAGGAAAAAAAATTTGAAACTCAAAATCTTACTTAAAAAATAAATGTTGAAAACTATCCTTACATGTAATTGGAAAAAATAAAATACCATTTACAAAAAAGTAAAGTAAATGCAAAATACAAACAAGCTAAATTGAATACAAACTAGTTTTCCTGGGTTAAGTAGGAGGAAATCAGGAATGACTTATACAAAATGGGATACCCACACTGCATTCTATTAAAAAAAAAAATCTCATTACAAAGAAAAAACTCCACTTGCAACAGCATTTATCAAAACTTCTCTCCAAATATCCAAAAGGATTGAAAGAAATCCATTCAACTTGGTTCAACCATTTCTCCCATAGGACCTTGGAATTTAGAGTTCTTTACTTAGCTGAGGTGTGTGTGTTGTGTGTGTGTGTGTGTGTGTGTTTGTGTGTGTGTGTGTGAGAGAGAGAGAGAGAGAGAGAAGAGAGAGAGAGAGAGAAATACACTCACAAGCACTTCTGCCACAAAGAAGAAGATGAAAAGTTTCCATTGCCCTATCTGGTTTGTCACTCAATAGAAAAACATGAATTCCTTAATAAGTGGATATTAAAACTACAGAATCTGCCGAAAACACAAAACTGAGAGGATGAGGTAAGGAAGAGATGTTCATCCTCTCTAACTGGTCCAAATGTAATGTCTCTCTCTATATAGTGGTCAGAGAAGATTTAGGAAACTATTATACAATAACCATACTACATTTCTAAAATTTCTGGGCTGATGAATAAAGATGGTGCAAAATCTAAGCTGAACCACCACTGTAGCCATTCTGTTCAGGAACAGGTTTCGTGTCCATCCATAAACCTTTGGTTTCACCAGAAAAAGGTATACTTACTTGGAAAACCAAAGAGGCCCCTCTTCCCCTTGCCCCTGATCACAAGCCTGGCCACCAGGAGTTGTGTTAAAATGTGAAAAATTAGGTCTTGATCCTCTAACTAAAAGAAAAGTTCTTTTCAGTACTGGCCCTTTCTCCAGCACATGTGTCAGATTTTCTCAAGATACACAGCATTCATTCTTTAAATATGACAAAGCAGCTTTTGCTAAATAGCTGTTAAATAATGGACTAAAACGCAAATGGTGAATAGCATCACACAGCTACATCCCACCATGTTTGTTTTAAAATGAAGCTATGTTTTGTTTAAATGTCACAAGAACTGAATCACAGAATCAATGATCTCAGCTGAACGATTCAGAGACCATCTAGTCTAACTTGTACCTGAACAGGAAAACCCTCTATAACAGCCATGTCAAATTCAAATCAAAATGGGGGCCACTGATCCATACCGAAGGACATCTATGGGTCACATATTGACTTGGTTTTAAAACACAATGCAGCCTAACACCTCTGCAACACTCCTAATGAGTGGCACCTTCCTCTCCTCTATCTCCCAATCTCCTCAGCAGATGCCACTGCAAATGACTAAAGGATTATCCTAACCCATCATGTTCTTGAAAATGGGAGTTAACAGACCTTATTTCTTAGCAGCTTAAAAAGCTTGCTAGATGAGTATTAGTTACTATGTATACTAGTTACAATACTATATTAGTTGCTATGTATACAATACGCTAACACATAGGTACTATTACTACTAGTTATGACCTCAAGTAGATGTTCCTGTGCCCATTTTACAGATGGGTAACTGAAGCACTAAGTGGGGTTAGATCATTCCCATACAATTATATATCACCCCAGGGCCAGGACTATAATCTTTCCTACCCAGTGCTCAGCAGGAGACTACTGAATCACCTGTAGGGTCTCAAGCACCCACTTCTCAAGGGCCCCTGCAGTTTTTTCCTGTTTGACAATAATCAGGCCCCATGCTACATGACCACCTGTAGTGTCTTAAGCAATACCTCCTGAAGGCTTCTGCAGCATTTTTTCCCTATTTGACAAGGATCAGACCTACGCTATGGTGACTTGGGAATGGCCTCCCTCTACCAAACACTCCCACAAAGAGAGCACTGTAATGAATTTGAACAGATAAAGAGTATCAGTCTTAGCATTCGTGTCTGATACTCTGTAATTCTTGGTTATTTTTAAAACTCCAAGATAAAGGAGAGCCACCCGGGAAAAAAAAAAAAACAGAGAGCGATCATGCCCAACTTTCATGCCAAAAGCTGGCAAAGGCTGGGTCCTTTCTTTAGCAAGCTCCCAGGCACTCAGCTATGATTTGTCTCAATCCACACCGCCAGCCTTGACTCTTCACTGCTTGTGGAGTTCTGCAGCTGGGAGTTTACTGAACACGTGCACTTCTACCCAAAGCTGTAATGAAGCACATTTGTGGGACTCTCCAGAGACCCCGAGCTCCTCATTGTCTTTCTAGTTTGGCGAGTTTTCTTCATTACCAAGCTCCAAGCCAGTGCGTGCAGTTCTGAACAGTACTCTCCATCGGCACTCTCCTTCTCAGCCACAGGATGGGGAGCTAGATTTGGCCCAGGTGCTGCCTCACTAGTGCCTCCAACAAGGCTGTATGAGCTGATGTCTTGACTAAATGAATGTCTCACTTCCCTCTCTTCCCCATTGCTAATCATGAAAAGAGGCACTCTCCTGAGTTTTTTTTTTATGAATTTCCAATTTTCTCTTCAAGGAGTCAGTTTTGCACCTAAGCCATAGGAGCTGAAGCTCTCAAACAGATGTTGCCTCTTCCTCCACTACTCCCCATCTGTATTTTTGCCAGCATTCAAAGGAAGGATGAGAGGAGGTAATGAAATCCTCCCACAGGTCTAAGTAATCGTCAACAAAAACCCCACAGCTTTTAGTGCAGACAACTCTTCACTAGGGACTGTGAATACGCTCTAATAGATATGCCAGCTCATCAATATGGATCTTCCCTAAAATAATTCAGAGTGCAATCCCTCCAGACCTGCCCATCCTGTGCCACTCTTGTCCATGTCATCCCCAAAGTTTGCCTCAAGGGGTCCATCCCACATGTGGGGCCCTTCCTCTTTTTCTCATGAGACCTCAATGGGTACAGTAGAATAAACCAAATCATGAACATGGAAGAAGAGTTAGAAAATTCTTCTCTACCAACCTAGGAGACAGTTGAACCGACACAAATACTGATGTAGGACTAACAGTACTGCCACCAATCCTGGAATGTCTGTTGTTCATTTGGCAAGTTATATAAAGTGATTAATGCGGGCCAGATTGCTGATTCTGTGCTGCAGAGGTGGTGGCAGGGTGGTGAAACTTGGAAGATGGGGAAGTGGTAATAAGCAAACTCTGCTCAGTCTTTGTAATTCTCTGGAAATCCCCTAAGGCATGACCCAGTCACTCCCTCATGTCCCTTCCACCCCTCCCAGTGGGAACCCACGTCAAGTTTCTGTTCTATTGCCCATCTACATTCTAAATATGTTGGTTAATAAAAGGCAATTTTTGATGATGGGTGAGACCAGATGTCACACCATGACTTTCTTGGGTCATGTGTTTCTGCTAATGCTTACTGATGTGTAGGATATATAAGAAATTACCCAATGCACCATTATTCAGGACCATCAAAACTCAATAACTGCCAGATTATTCTGTCATCTGGGGAACACCAGTGCAAAGGAATTACTGAGAGGCAATGGCCATCCACCACCAAGAAGGTAGGAGAAACAATGGCAAAGATTATTTGGGTTTTGTTTTTTTTGTTGTTTTTTATTTGTTGGCCTTACCCTGGAGTGGTATGTAAGGTAGCCTTCAAACACGCTTACATCCTCATGGCCCATTAGCTCTGCTTGTCCTCACTCCTTGCTTCTTCTTGCATGCTGAACCAGATGCTAGAAAACAAAAAGGAATGACTAGTCAAGGAAGCAACCCACCTATTCTACTCATGGCACATACACAACATGAGCTATCTACCATGCAGAACAATTTGATACTCGGGGCACTTCCAAGTACAAATGTTAAAAGGGTATGTTATGTCTGGACACAAGTGTCATGGAAGGTTGTCACAAATAATCCCCAAGTGGCCAAAATTTCCAGAATATATTTAGTCTGGGGACAAGATAGGATATCATAAAAGTTCAGACCTGGAAAGAACCACAGAGTTCACCTGGTTCAACCTACTGATTTACAAACAAAGAGACAGTATCATTTATGCTCTGTAGGCCTGGAAAAAAGAGGCAAGGCAGGCACGTATCAGGAATAGGGGAGGTTTAATGATGGAAAGCTCAATGCTTGTACTGCTATTCATGAAATAATAAAAACTCCTAGCACATGGGGAAAGTTATTCTGTGTAAGAGTCTTGATAAGAATTATATAGAATGAGGAAGTGTGGATGAGCTGTTCTCAGCAGGAATCCAATGAAGGACTGGAAGAATACTGAACCTCACAGAATCCACATCTATTTCATTTCTTCATTCATTCACAACTGTTTTCCAAATACTAACTAATTTGAAAACCCTTAGAAGTGAGTATCTTTATTCCTTTGCTGAGGCAAGAATACAGCCCAGTCTGATACCAACATAGATACAAACTTGAAGAGAGAAGGTGCTCACTCTGGTCAAGAAGTCTAGTTGGGAAGTCATTTCCAGTCATTACGGAAGGAGCTAATGGTACTAAAAGTGAGAAAACCAGGTTTAAAAACATTAAGGAATTTTGATGCAAAGTTATTCTTCAATGAATTATTAATTATTCATTACAATTATTCTAGACTTCAATGGCTTATATTAGCCTAAATTAAAATGTATCCACTACCTACCTCCTAGTAGGGCAGGGCATTTTTCCATAGAGAACCCTAGACACGTACAGAAATATTACTCAAAGCAGCCCTGAAAGAAATATGCTCATTAAAGTCACTCAGGAAAACAAGGATGAACTACAAAGAAAAGAGGGGACTTGAATCTGTCTCAGAGCGAAGTTGTCTTCAAGGTTTTACATGAAAGGAAATCGTCAAAGACTAACAGACAACATCTCACATGCCATGTTTCCTATTGCTACAAAAGTAGCATATAAATGTACATATAAATGTGTTTTGGATACCTTGTCTAATTTGGTTCTCACACAAGCTCTAAGAAAATATTACACATAGAAAATCCCAGGTTACATACTTCAGCAGAAGTTATACGCCACAGCTAATAAGCAGTGTAGACTAGACTTAAACACAAGTATTTTCACTCTGAGTCTAGTGCTATTTCCATTATAATGTGTTGTCTCTTAATTTTGAGAATAAAAAAAAGAAAGAAAAATTTTTGAGAATAAAATATAAAAAGAAACACAACCCAAGATAAGGGGGAAAACTATCCTACTAAATCATTTGTGTGAATTTAGACTAGTCAATGGTCAACTTCTGGGTCTAAGTTTTTTCTTCTATAGAATAAGGAAAGTGGGCTAGAGGGTTCAATATTCACTGATCCCACAAGTTTTCAGCTACGTGCCAGGCCCCACGCTAGAAGACATGAGGAGCATACAACAGAATAAAACCTCATTCTTGCTCTCAGGGACCTTACAGTCAAGCAAAAAAGGGAAGATGTATACAAATAATGAAGAAAAGGCAGGGTATAAAAGGACAATAAGAAGTACAAACAGAATGTTCTGGGACTTCAGAGGAAGCAGAGACAACTTCTGGCCAGGGTAGAAGTGAGGAGGAAAAAAGAGAGAAGGCTTCATGGAAGAGATGATACATGGAACTGAGCCTCTTTGGAAGCTAGGTAGGAAATCCCAGAAGCTCAGCAGGCAGGAGATCTCAGAGGTAATTTAGTCCAGCCAATGCCCAAACAGGAATCCTCTTTGCCACTTCCCTGACAAGTGAGAGGAAAGGGAAAGGGAATAAGCATTTCTGTAGTGCCTACTATGTGCCAGGCACTGTGCTAAGTGCTTTACAAATAGTATCTTACTTTCTCCTCACAACAAACCTGTGAGGTTAAGTGCTATTATCATCCCCATTTTACATGGAGGAAACTGAGGCAATCAGAAGTTAAATGACTTGCCTAGGGTCCGACAGAAAGTGTCTAAGGACAGATTTGAACAAGTGGTCTTCCAGATTCTGTTTGAAGCTCTCCAGTAAGGGTAAACCCACTACCTTCTAAGGCAACCTATTCCACTTTTGGTCAGTTCTAATTGTGGAGAAGGGTTCCCCCCGCCCCCTCCGTATGTTGAGCCTAAGTCTTCACCTCTGCAAACTGCATCCACAATCCAAGGTCTGTCCTCTAGGTTCAAACAGAACCAGCTTACCCATTTATTATGGCAGTAGCAAGATGCTCACTATGGAGCTGGGCAAGGTGGAGGGATGACAAAGAACGGGCATTCTGGAAAGAAGAGCAAAACAAAGGTAGAATGGCAAGAAACCCAGCAGCATGCTTGGGGAATTGAAAACATTCTTCTCTGGCTAAGATGCACATTGAGAAAAGAAGAGAAGAAATGAAAGATAAGAGTGGAGAGGTAGGATGAGGTCAAATCATAAAGAGCTCAACCCCTGGGTTGCTTACTCAGGTCAGTGGATTATTGCAAATAAAACACTTTGTAAACCTTAAAGCTCTGTATCTATGAGCTGTGATGACGATGATGCAATCAAGAGCCATTAAGCAGGGTAATATAATTTAGTTGTGTTTTATTTCAATTATTCTTTTGAAATTAAGTCAGACGGGTTAGAGGTGGATGAGAATAGAGGCAGTTAGAATATTACTATAACAGACCAGGAGAGGTATCATGAGGCCCCAAATCACAGTGTCAATGGGAATGCAAAGGATAGGATAAGAGATAGAGGAAAAGAGAGATCACAGAGGTAAAATAAAGAAAACTTAACAATGGTTTGAGTGTTCAGGATAAGCAAGAAAAAGCTGCATAACAAAATAGGAGGAATAAATCGAGCTGGATTGCCTTTGGGGAATTGTACAGAACTTTTAATAACTCTGTAGTTTCTTCCCGAAACAAAGGGCCATCACTCCAACACCAATACTCTTGTAAGGAGACCTTGAGGACTCCAAGGAGATTGCATGGCTTTGAGTTATGGAATACGCCGTCTCCAAAGAATGAAAGATAGAGGTCAAGCAAAAGAGGATATGTCAAAAATAATAGGTTTGAGCCTTCCAGACTACCATTAACAGAAATAGGAGAGTTGGGCTCCATCTTCTCTGGGAAGGAAAAGGCAAGGTCTTTTGCAAAGTAAGGATGGCCTGAGTGTGAGAAAGCTGCCATTGGGAATGCAATAGGAAATAAACTAAAAAATGAATAAAATTAATTGAGAAGCTGCCATTTGTCCTAGCTAAGGCTTAAAAGCTTGGATGTGTACTGGGATTGGCTTTAAGACTTCCCCCCCCACCCCCAACATCACTAAGTATCCTGGAAGAAGAATCAGAGAAAGTGAAGGAGAATGGGCTTTCCCTAGGATGGTGAAATAGAAAGGCAGGTAAATAGAACAAATGGGAGAGGAATTCCAGAGAGTTAGCAAGGACATCAAAGAGGCTGACAATTGAATCCACATTGGGTAGGGAGGGAAGTGGATCACAAAGGAGCTGATGGGTTATAGGTGACTGAAGTCCTAGAGGCTGCAATGAGGCAGGGACCAGGGTTAGTAGGGGAAGGGGAGTAAGAGTTAAAGGATAAGTGGTTGTGGTCAGACACACATTACAGTAGCAACAGGACAGTCAAGACTAAAATGGGATGAAAATAAAAGGCCACCACTGAAAAACACAAGTTAAATGAAGTCAAGAATTGAAAAGTTATTTTAATCCCATGTGTATAACATCAGAAGGAGCGTGGCAGAACGGGAGCCAATATTTACTAGCTATATGACTTCGGGCAGCTTATTTAAACTCTGTGCCCTCCAGGCAGCTTCCCAGGACTTAACCTCTAAATCCTAGCTGGGTTGCAATCTGCACTGGAGGGAGTTTGACACACTGATGAAATCGCAAAGCCTTCACCATTCATGTTCATACCTTCAGAAGGGTCATCTTCCAAAAGAGAACTTCACAGAGGCCTTCGATATACTTCATTTGAATCAAAGAATTCTAGAAATAGAGGAGCCCCATGAAGATGACCTTGAAGATACCATTCTCCTTCAAAAATTCTAGGAGTCTAAGATTTCAGATCACCTTGAGATTCACCCCGTCCATTTACTCAATGTACTGCTCACATCCCTGGTTGCCTAGCAATTCCCACAAATTAGGTAATTATACTTAGGAAGCTTCTAGTTTTAAAAATCTCTCTATGGAGAATCAGGTCCAAGGAAAGCTCATAGCTCCAGTTCCAGTTTGCTAAGCCTTTCTTAAGCTAGGAGATTGTCTTGAGGGATATCAAAATTACTTCAGGGGCTCCCAGCATCCTTGATCCCTATCATGCAAATGATATAGGTAAACTTCCCAGATAATGAGCTTAACCAAAGGAAGACACTTGTAAATGTATCTTGAGAATGGCAGTTTTGGACATGGCCAATATGGGCATTTGCTTTGCCTGATGGTAAATATTTGTCATAAGGGTTTTTTTTTTCTTTTTCCATTGGGAGAGAGGGAAGTAGAAAAGAGAGAAAATAAATGCTTATTTGAAGTTTTTAAAAATAAAATATTTAAATAATGTCACCAAGTATGGGACAGAATAATGCTTTGCCCCCTTTGCATTAATTTCTTTTTCTCTCTGCTGAAACATACGAAGGGCTGAGAAGCCGAGGATTCTTGATCTGGGATCTGTGAGTTTTTTACAAAATGTTTTGATAACTGTATTTCTACAAAATTGGTTTATTCTGTAATCCTATGTATTTTATCTCATACAACATTATTCTGAGAAGGGGTAAATAAGCTTCACCAGACTGCCAAGGGGATTAAACACTCCTGTATTGTAAGCT